CCTAGGGAGACCAGGCTGTCCTGGAGAGACCAGGCTGTCCTGAAGGGACCAGGCTCTCCTGCGAGGCTGGAAACATCGGACGATAGAGTGATCTCTAAGGGTAAAGGGGCAAGTAGATGGGGCGTGAGGCTGCAGATCAGCCTTGCGGGCATGGCGTCAAGCACTCGCTTGGGCACTAACGAGCTGTAGCACCTGAAATGGTTTGCAGATCTCCCAATATCAGTGTGGGCYGCCAGGCTTGCTCGGGGTGGCGCTCCTGGCCCCCTGAGCACGTGCAGAGCTCGTTGCAGCCGTGGGCTGGCCCRCGTGCAGGGGGTCCCAGGAGGGCACAGGCTCCCAGCGCCACGTTAGCGTCCCAAGGCACTGGGCTGCAGCTGCCCAAATTCCCTGTACTGGAATGGGAGCAAGGGGAAAACAAGTATTTTTACTCTCATTGAGCTCTGCTTAAAGGATGCAGTGTCCAGAGGTGCACGAAGGAATTGACTTCTGCACAGGGTTCACTGCAAGAAATAGCAATGAGAAATAAACGCTGGATAAAGCCATACCTGAAAGGTGTGCATTATCCTTTTGTGYAGAGGATATTTTTGGGGCCAGAAGCAGCCTTTTGCAGTCGAAGGGCTTGACCCACTTTGCTCGGAGCGCTTCGGGCTCTGCTTGTTCCTGCTCCGCAGAGCGGCCGCGGCGCGAGCGCGGCTCCGCGCGCTCCACGTGCTCGCAGCAGCAGCCCCGGCTCGGGCGGGTGATTTGGGTGCTTCCTCTTGCACATTGGGTAGCAATATTGGCCTTTCTAAATGGAGCCCGTTCCTGCTTGCACTCGTGACTGGCTGGGAAACCCGCTCCCCAGCAGCACGTTATGCAACTCTCCAAGCTAACGCCGGGTCAAAAACGGGCTCTTTTGGTTGTGGCTGGGTTTTTTAGGTGTTATTTAGGTTAGTGTTTCATAGTATGCAGGTTCTGAGTGACCTCCGGTTTTTCACAAGCTGCTAGGAAACGTAGGAAAGCTTGTTTTGTAGCAGGAAAGTTTTGCCTTTGTCGGGTTTTACAGGCACCTTGGTTTTTAAATCCAGACTTGAAAGCGAAGAGATGGTCATTTGGTTGTGACCAAAGGCACTTTGCATGGCCTCAGATCTGGGAGGCATTTTAGGTATTTAGGTAGGAGGTATTTAGAAAATGGGTGACAAATTTGTCACCTCTAGGAGGGGTTTTTGCCTGAATTTTTCCCGGAGCAGGGAGGAGTCCAGGCGAGCAGGGATCCCCGACCRTAAGGGGGACCAGGCGAGCAGGGATCCCATCGTTTCCCCTTCTTTGCTTGGCCCTTGAGGTTTCCGCGCCTGGTTCTGTCACTTCATATCAAAACAGGAGTGTATCTTCCAGCCTCCCCAAATGAGAAACGAGGATGGGTTTTCCCGTCCTCTGGCGGCTGGAGAGCAGCGGGTTCCCATTCCCCCAGCCCCGGGCTGTCCCTGGGGTGCTCCCCTGCCTCATTCCAGCCCCTTCCTGTCATTCTGCGTCCTTGTCACCGCTCCTGACCTGCGAAGGGGTCTCRGTGGTGGTAATGGGTCTGCTCCTAAATTGCCCGCATCGCCCGCGTTCCTCCCTCAGTTAAAGTTGTGTCTAACTCAAATGCACTCCCCGGGTAAATTGCGACTTGATGGGGTGAAAATTAGGACGTTTGGGTAATGAYGGGCAATTTCTTGTTCTTTAAAAAAAGGCAACTCTTCTAATAGTGCCCTCTGGACAGCGTGTGCACTCGTGTCCCTGCTGTCCCCCGGGTGCAGGCGATGCTGCTCGGGGAGCGCGTGGCGGGCAGGGCACCCTCTGCCACGGCCCCGGCGCTGCTCTGCTGGCCACGGAGCTCCCACGGCGGGGAAAACGAGCAGAGAGGCTTGTTGGGATGAGCAGCGTGAGCGGGGGCCTGGTGCTGCCCGGACCCCAAAGCGTCTCCGCAGCCTCCCYGGGCAGCCTGGGCCAGGGCTCGGGCACCCTCCCACCAAACAAGTTCTTCCTCACGGCCACATGGAGCTGCCTGCGCTGCAACCTGCACCCACTGCCCCTTGGCCTGCCCCTGGCCACCACCCACCAGAGCTTGCACCTTCCTCCCTCCATCCTCCCTGTCCAAGGGACCTGGTCCTTGGACACACTGCCCACGTCCCTGTGAGCCCTCCAGGTTTCTGCATTCCTGTCTCCTGCTTGYCTTGCAGTGTCGTCGCGGCTGTCGCAGGCGGCCTCCCCGCAGCCRGGCTGCCCGTCGCCCTCCGTGCCGGCCGCCAAGGTGATCTCGCCCTCGCAGAAGCACAGCAAGAAGGCGCTCAAGCAGGTAAGCGGGCCCCGCTCCATGCTTCCCGCTCCCTGCCGCGATGCTCCTCGGCACCTGCACGGAGGGAAGCGGCGCCCGGCCGTGCAGGGAGCACCTTGAGCCTAAAGCAGCCCCCTTGCTCGGGGGGCTCAGGGCCCTGGGCTCACCGGTGCCCCTTGCTGTTCCCCAAAAGTTCGTGGGTAAGTTTGTGTTGCTCTTTCAGGGAGTGGGTGTGAGACGCGATCTTACCCAGCCTTTYGGTGGCTGCCCTTAGCTTTCTGCAGGTTCTTTTAGAAAACAGCAGCTCTTCTGGGGGAAAAAACCCTAAATCCAGCGACTTCCCCTCCTGTTAGGGGCATATCTGCATTCCCAAGGGATTCTGTGGCTCCGAGGTGTGTATATGTGAAGGGAAGAAGGGGACAGGGAGCTCGCTGAATCTGCGCTGCCCATCCACACAGGGGAGGAGAGGAGGGCTGGCTGTTTCCCACGCCCAGGGATGGCCCGTTCGTCGACGGGGGTTATTAGATTGGTTTGGATATGGTGTTTGTTGCATTGGTTGGGATATGGTGTTTAATGCACTGGTCTGTGTGAGGTGTTTATTGCACTGCTTTCTGCAGGGTGTTCAGTGCCCCAGTGTCCATAGGGTGTTCGTTGCCCGGTGTCTGTAGGGTGTTCGGTGCCCTGGTGTCCGTAGGGTGTTCAGTTTACCGGTGTCCGTAGGGTGTTCAGTGCCCCAGTATCCATAGGGTGTCCGTTGCCGCGGTTTCCATAGGGTGTTTGTTGCCCCAGTGTCGGTAGGCTGTTTGGTACACCATTTTCCATAGGGTGTTTGTTGCCCAGTGTCCATAGGGTGTTCGTTGCCCGGTGTCCGTAGGGTGTTCGGTGCCCCGGTATCCATAGGGTGTCCGTTGCCGCGGTTTCCAAAGGGTGTTCGTTGCCCCAGTGTTGGTAGGCTGTTTGGTACACTGTTTTCCGTAGGGTGTTCATCGCCCTGGTGTCTGTAGGGTGTTCAGTGCCCCGGTATCCATAGGGTGTCTGTTGCCGCGATTTCCATAGGGTGTTCGTTGCCCCAGTGTTGGTAGGCTGTTCGGTACACCGTTTTCCATAGGATGTTCAGTGCCCCAGTGTCCGTAGGGTGTCTGTTGCCGCGGTTTCCATAGGGTGTTCGTTGCCCCAGTGTTGGTAGGCTGTTCGGTACACCGTTTTCCATAGGGTGTTCAGTGCCCCGGTGTCCGTAGGGTGTCCGTTGCCGCGGTTTCCATAGGGCGTTATTTCGTGCCGCTGGCGCGGGTCGGCTGTTGGTGCTTCGGGTGCTCCCTGGCAGGGGAGGCGGCGCCGGCGGCTCCGCGGCGCTCGGAGCGCGGCCGGGCCTGCGCTGCCTCCCCGGCCCGTGAGTTGCTCTGTCCTCTCACAGATTCACAGAATTYACAGATTCACAGAATATTKAAGGTTGGAAGGGACCTCTASAGATCRTCTAGTCCAACCTTCCTGCTCCAGCAGGCACACCTACAGCATGTGGCACAGGGYGGCATCCAGGCGGGTTTGGAAGACCTCCAGAGTAGGAGACTCCACAACCTCCCTGGGCAGCCTGTTCCACTGCTCTGTCACCCTCACAGTAAAGAAGTT